GTATATGTATATGTTGTTGTTTTTGTTTATGCCTTTGTATATGAATATGAATATGAATATGAATATGAATATGAATATGAATATGTATATGTATATGTATATGTATATGTATATGTATATGTAAATGTAAATGTAAATGTAAATGTAAATGTATATGTATGTATGTATATATATGTGTGTGTGTGTATAGATTGCAGTATGTTGTGTATTGCATGGACTAAACTGTACTGAACATTTTATGTACAATAAGGTGTGTGTGTGGCAAGAAGTACGGACACATGGGGCACATAAGAAAAATCAGTACTATGGTATTCTAGCGTTATCGTACTATCCTAGTATTGTAGTATCGTACTTTACTAGTACAGCATCTCCGTATTGCAGTATTTTGGTACTACAGCATTTAAATGTTAAAGTGTTATCGCATTCTCGTACTTCAGTATTATAGCATCATCGTGTTTGTGTATTATCATGCTAAACTTTAATATGATTGTAGTATTTTGGCAATAGAGCAATGTGGGATTATGGCATGATTGTGTTAGCACGCTATTGTATTCTCGCATTTTCGTGTTATAATAATATTTTAGTATTGTCGCATTACCGTATCGTAGTAGTATGAGCATTATATAGGGTTTTGGTATTGTAGTATTGTCGTACTGTCGTATGTTTGTATTGTATCGTGGTACAGTATCTCAGTACTGTAGAATAGAGTATAGCAGAAATTTTGCGATGTAAGATGATACGATATTGCGAAATTCGCAATCTAAGAGGTGCTTGAGCATGGCCCGATGCTATACAAAGCGCGGCTGCATCTAGACATAGCTACGTGTCGCATTACCGGCGTAAATCATGTGTTATATTCATGTCTGTATCTATATGTGCGTCTATATTTGCACCTTTATTTATGATCATGTGGTTCTATACCTCTATCTGTTACCTATATATCTATATTTACTTCCGACGCTCGCCCGATGACCCTGAGAGGCACTGCTGGCCGCTGCACCTCAACAGGCAACTCCCTTGCAGTGGCACCCAAGTGTTCTGCAACTTCTGCTCCCAGCTCTTTTTAGGTGCAGGATGCCCTGAGAAGCAGCGGCCTGTGAGGAAAAAACGCCTCAAAAGCAAGCATGCCGTTTGCGCACTCACTCCCGGCCTCGCTCCTCCTTCCTTCCTTCTTGCCTTTGGAGATCTTGCAATCGCACTGTCCTGGCTGCACGTCGCAGGTGTTCCTTGCTTAGGTTGGTGGCTGCTCAGAAAAGAAATGCTGCCAAGACCAATGCATCTGATCCCCGCAGCTTTCCGGCACATCAACTGAGATGCAGCTGCAAGACTGGTGAAGTCGCTCGCAGTTTCCGCATTCTGGAGCCATCGGACAGCAGCCCATTGGGCCACCACAGCTTTGCGTTGAATCGCCTCTCTCTGGGGAACTCATCCATGAAGTGCTGCATGCGATAGTCCCACACTCTTTCCCGCTTTGCCCTCAGGTTGTTCAAGCTGCAGTTACAGCTATGCTGCTAAGAAAAGGGCAAAGTCCGACTCTAAGAGGTGTTGCTTTAGCATCGTCCACTCGGCGACCATGAGCGAGGCTGCAGACGGGATGTGCAGCCTTGCCAGAGGGTGCCAGGCCATTTTTGCGCATCTCTGCCCTATTTGCCTTTTTGGGCTCGAGCCCAGCTGAGAGCCATGGGATCCTGCGGCCCTTTCTCGCCGCGCGTGGACCTTGGTGTGGGTTTAATCCACATCCTGATCGCGGTAGCCGGCAGCAGTTAACTGCAACCACTGAGGGCCCAGCCTCATCTGGCCCTTCTGACACCGAACCGATAGTCACGTCGGCGTACCTCGGATGCAGCCGTCTGCGGTCATGCGCTGAATCTCAGGGAGTGTTTCAGACATGACACAGCGAAGGCACTTCAGGCGGATGCGGAGCTGCCCCGTCCTCCTCGCGTTCTTGCAGGTGGAATTGGCGATTGGGCAGGTCAGGGAGGAGATTCAGGACGGGGAAAAGTCTCTGAAGCCCTTAGTAGAGGGCAGAGGGCAGACGAGAGAGTCACACACCTGACTTCGAGATGAAATGTTTCGGTGGATGTGGGATGTCTTTTGGTTTCTGTGTTGTCCAGAACAAGAATGACCAATTGAATTGACAGCATGATCAAGATAAGAAAAATAGAATAATAAGAATGATATACACAAGGAAATATTAATTTAATCAGAATACAATAAGAATATAGTAAGGAATAGAGTAATTAAGGAATCTAATTAGAATATCGTATACAATCTAGTAAGACTTAGAGTAGGCGAAGACGCGAGGAGACCTGCCTTCTCCAAGTCGGCTTGGAGCTTCCGCAGGCACGACCGGTCGCCCTCGCATTTTTCTTCTCTTCGCATGTGACCTGAGGCCTTCAAACGGAGGAGTTCGAGGTGTTAAGTCTTATTTTTTACGGGGTTTTAGGCTTCGGGGGGCATTGTGGGACCTATCTATCTGCGGACCCTTGACGGCATGGACGTGAGTTTCATGAGCACCTGGGCAGCTGTTTGGCTCAAGGGGCTTCTGCCAGGGCCTCGGTACATCAAGGAGGCCTTTATTCCTCAGGGTCTCATATTGCTAGCTAGTCACGGGGGCAGGCTTGCGGAGACCGGTGACGAGTGGGTTTTTCAGGAAACATGCCTAAACCAAGGGATGCAGGTTCGCGGTGTCGGCCATGGCCGCAGTGCCGGTGGAGACCAGTAACGACGTCAAGGCATCGTACCCCAAAGCCTAAGCCCCAAGCCCCAAAAACCCAAAACCCCAAAACTCGAAGACCCTAAGCCCCAGTCCCTAGAACCCTAAACCCCAGGCCTTTTAAACCCTAAACCCTTTCCTCAGATCTCGCCTTGCTCAGAGGCCGCTTACAAGAAGGGCCTTACCGAGGACGTCTCTGGGAACCACCAAACTGCGCTGGCGAACTTTGGGAAGGCGAAATGCCTTTCAGGCCGGGCTGGCTAGGGCCTTTTTCGGGTTCGGGGCTTTAGGGCTTTGAGGATTTTAGGATTTTAGGGCTTTAGGATGTTAGGGTTGTAGTGTTTTAGGGTTTAAGGATCTTAGGATTTTAGGGTTTTAGGGTTTAGGGGATCAGGGCCTCTTATGGTTTGGGGCTTTCGGGGTTTAGGGTTTAAGACTCCTAGGCCTTTGGCGGCTTTGGGGTTCAGGGGCTCAGGGCTCTGGAGCTTCATGCACTTGAGGCTTGGCTTTAGGGTTTTCAGGTTAGGGTTTTCAGGTTTAGGCTTTAGGGTTTAGGGGAAGCCTCAAGAGTACCTTGAGGCTTAGCTTTCGGGTTTTCAAGTTTAAGGGTTTTCAGGTTTAGGCTTTAGGGTTTAGGGGAAGCCTCAAGAGTACCTTGAGGCTTAGCTTTAGGGTTTTAAAGTTTAGGGTTTTCAGGTTTAGGCTTTAGGGTTTAGGGGAAGCCTCAAGAGTACCTTTCAAAAAAAGGGGGGGGAAGTGTGCACCTTGCGAAGTGTTGAGGCAGCAACCCTGCATTTCAGAAGAAATGCGAAAGCGGCGTCCGCAAGGCTTTGCGACATCTCAAGGCAGGAAACTGCTCTAAGCCCCCTAAAGCCAAACTCTATATAATCCTTTGGTCCAAAACCCAAACCCTTAAACCTTTCAAAAGACAGGAACAGGATGGGCTGTACCAGCTGCGAGAGATGTTCAAGGCCGGTCGTCCTTGCAACTGAAACCCTAAACCGTACCCTACATTGCAGAACTCTTGTAGAGACCTTGAAAGGAGCCCTATTCTAATCCCCAAACCCGAGGCGGATGCTGCTGCGCTGCTGAGCCGAAATGGGGACGCACCGCCGCTGGCCGTGGCAGGCTTTAAGGGATCGATGCAGGGAAGTTCGTCCCAGGTCATTGAGTAACACTCTGGCTGGTCTCGGCCTGCGCCCGTGGTTCAGTGCACGAGGGCTAACTTTGAGACAGCCGCTTTCTGTGCACAGGCTTCTGCAGTCGTGTGGAGAAGGCACCTGTCGGCCGCGGGCTACTGGCGCCTTTGATGAAAAAGTAGTCCCTCCCCTGGCGCGGATATGCGAAGCACGGCTACGTGCGTTACGTGCGGTGACGGCCTTGCAGGGTTGTCGAATTCGGAGGTTCGCGAACGGGCACAGATTGGTGAGCTGCTCTTTGTCGAGATGCTTACCTGCAGTCCCAGCAGTGTGACAGGATGCAGCCTTGAGCAATGTGGCAGTTTCAAAGGCTTCATATTCATTCGGGAACCTCCAGCGTCGACCCCGAAAATGGGATCCTTGATGTTTTGGAAGTTCTGAGTTCATCCGGTAAGGGTTGGACTCGCGACTGTTGTCATGTGGCAGTACAAGGGCACTTCCCTGCCCCTGGCTGGGAGCCAGATGTGAAAGGCCATGAAGTGAGAGCAGAGAGTGCGTCAGTGCAGCTCCAAGGAAAGCTTTCATACTGGGAAGCCATCAGGCGCTCCTTGGAGCCGCCCTGAAGAAACTGCAGAGCTGCCCAAAGATGGATTTCGATCAGCGACTCGGCGCAAGGCAGGCGCGCATGCACTCAAGGGGATGCTGGGTCTGGCAGGTTCATGAATCTGGTCAACGGCGAGGAGGAGGAGGTTGTGCCCAGGCAGAGTGTGAGGTTTGAGCCCAGAGTCTTGGGAGATGATAGGCCTTGTAGGTGGCTGGCGCTTGGCTGAGGTGTCGCCTGCAGGATCATCAATCACAATAGCCTGCCCGGAAGATGAAGGAGATCGCACGGTGGATGAAGACAAGGTGCAGAGGACCGCAGTGCCTCTTGGTCGTTAGATTCGAAAGCGGCCCAGTGCAACTATGGAAAGCAGTCTGGGACCAGGATCCTGCAGCTGAATGCTCGAAGCCGCATCACCCTGAGCAAGACGGGTGAGATCGAGGAGAAGCTCTGGGGACTTTGGCCTCTGGCAGCCTCCATGAACCATTCCTGCAGGCCTTCGTGGGGTGAAGATCTTCCCTCTCCACCCTGAACAGCCGGTCTGCCCTGGAGTGCCCCCTAACCCTAAACCCTAAACC